CAACTCTATAATAATGGGGGAGGGAAAATGGAATCAGAAAGGTGGGAAACAGAGAACTAGATAAAGGATCAGAACCTTTGAAAGGCTGCCAGGGTTGAGTAGCTGGGGTAGGGTGGAGGGGGTTAGGCTTTGGCTTAGAAGATTTGGTGGAATAACCCCTAGCACAAAAATGGGATTGCTCTGCTCTCTACATTCCCATTCCTGACCCACTCTCCAAGTTTCCTATGACTAGGTTATTAACTCCCCCAGCCACTGGAAAGAATGATTAACAGTAATGTGTCAATAAACTGACAGAGTTTGAGTCTCTAAGAGTCACTCTTTCTACTCTGGGGAAGGGGAGGGGAAAGAACTTATTCTTCTCTTAGTTTCTCTAATCAAGACTTGTCTGTAGAGAACACTCCTTTGCCCTAGGAAGAAGGGAAGGGTGTGTGTGGGAGTGTAGGAGCAGAGTGGATTTTTTCAGTAAGGTGAACAATGCTTCTGGAAGCTGCCCAAGAAATCTGTATTTTGACAAAAAGCATGAAGGAAGAGTGTACTGGGCATGGGAGGCAGCTGGCAAAAGTGATGCTCATCTACCCCTGCTTTTCTCCGAACATCTTAGTACCCTTCTGCTTCTCATTTATTTTGGGGCTCCCTCTCTTTTGCACAATATAGAAAATCTTCAAGTTGAAAAAAAGCTTCCGCAGTCATGTGATCTAAATGTTATTAGTAGGCTGTATTTTGCCCACAACATCCCTGATAAGCATCTGCTTGAAGACCTCTGAAGACAAGGAATTCACTACTCTCCAAAATAGTTCGTAGGAAGACATATGTTATAGAGGAAAGAGCACCGCTTTCTTGGAGTCAGAAAACCTGGGTTCAAATCTCAAATCTGACCTTCACTAGCTATGTGTTGCACCCTCCTCCCTGCCCACTGCTGGTCAAATCACTTTATTTTTCTGAATTTCAGTTTCTTCAACTATAAAATGGGGATAATATTTGTATTTGAAGACAGCATGCTAGAGGGTAAGCACACTGTACTTAGAGTAAGAACTCCACAGGAATCTCTGCTCTGCCACCATCATAGCTTCTCTGGGCCTCCATTTCCTCGTCTGTAAAAAGAGAAGATAGGGGGCAGCTAGGCTGCGCAGTGGATAGAGCACCAGACCTGAAATCAGGAGGACCTGAGTTCAAAGCCGGCCTCAGACCAAACACTTGACACTTACTAGCTGTGTGACCCTGGGCAAGTCACTTAAACCCAATTGCCTAACCAAAAAAAAAAAAAAGAAAGAAATAAAAAAGAGAAGATAGGACTAGCTCTCTTAAGGTCTCCTCTAGAGCTGACATTTTGATTCCACTTTTTGGACAGCTCCAGTTAGGTTTTTCCTTCTACTGAGCCAAAATCTGTCTCCTTTTAACTCTTACCTCTATGAATGTTCTGATACATAGCAGAACTTTGGTTCTCCCTTTTGCCTCCTTGGGATACATGTTCAAGAGTGAATTCATTGGGACCTTGAGTTCTTGAAGAATAGTCTAGTGGATCACAAGCTCTGGAAGATTCTATCAATGTGAAAAGTTTTAAAGTATGGGACTTAGTTGACTTTGGTTCAGCTAGATAAGTTCAGAGCAAGCTCTTTACCAGGTTGTACTTAGAGTGAATACAGTGAGGAAAGCTAGGTGGCCCAGTGGGTAGAGTACTGGGAGTTCAGATCTGGTCTCAGACATTAACTAGCTGTGTGATCCTGAGCACAGTTTGCCTCAGTCTCCTCATCTGTAAAAATGAACTGGAGAAGGAAATGGTAAACCACTGTAGTATCAGCGCCAATAAAACCCAAATGGGATCCCAAGAAGTCAGACGGGACTGAAATGACTGAACAAAAACAAATATTGATGATAGTTATAGGGCTGGAAGAGATCATGGAGATAATTAAGTCCAGATGTCTTATTTTATGTATAAGGAAATTGAGGCCCAGAGAGATGAAATGCCTTGCCAGGACCACATGGATAGTAAGTATCTGAAGCAGGATTTGAACCCTGGTCTTTCTGACTCCATGTCTAGAACATTATCCACTATACTATGCTGCCTATGAGGATATCATTATGTTGAGGATAGTATTAGGTTAAAACTGTGCTAGGTGAACAAAAGGACCCAAAGACTGCCTGAGCCACATATGTTGTCTAACATCTCTCAAATTTTAGGCACTTAATAAAGTCAATTAAATTAAACAAGCCCTTATTAAGTACCTGTTACGCAGAAGGCATATATAGGGTCTACAAAGACAACAGTGAAAAACTCTCCTTGCCCTCAAGGAGCTTATATTTTTCTCAGAGATATAAAGAAGTAAACCTAGAATTTGAGGAGCAGGGAAGCCTAACAACTCGGGAGACTTCCCTTGTTACCTGAACAAATGACTCCCAGTGCCTGCTTCATGTTCTCATGTGAGGTTGTGCTGGGGAGTGTTGAAGAATGAATGTTGGATTTAGAGTCAGAGGACCCCGATGATGAGCAAGACATTAAGCTTTCCTTCTGTAAAATGAAGGAATTAAATGATATACCCTCTGAGTTCACTTCCATCCCCAAGGCTATCATCCTGTGACCTCTACAAAGCTGGCTAGAAAACCAAAGCACACTGGAGGTAGAGTCAGAAGATGTGAGTTTCAATCCTGGCTCTGTGACCTTGGGCAAATTATTTCACTTTTCTGAATCCCACTTTGCCCATTTGTATGTCAAAAAAAAAAAAAGCAATTTGCTACTAGCCCCAGGAGCTGGGGGGCTATACCTTTTTCCCTTCCACTAAAGAGATAGCTAGGTGGTGCAGTGGATAGAGCACTGGGTCTGGGGTCAGTAAGACCTGAGTTCAAATCCAGTTTCAGCCCCTTACTAGCTGTGTGACCCTGGGCAAATCACTTAGCCTCTGTTTGCCTCAGGTAAAATATGTAAAATGGAGATAATAATAGCACCTACCCTCCAGAGTTGTTGTGAGGATCAAATGAGATAATATTTGTAAAGCACTTCACTATGTGAAACCTGGCATATAACAGTAAGTGCTATGTAAATACTAGTTATTATTATTAATGGGCCTTTCTGACCTCTGAACCTAAGTACTTGTTTTAATCATAGGTAAGGCTAGCCTCTAATGAGAGGGGTTAGGTTACTTTTCCCACACTCTTTGGCCATACCTTGGAGCCCCATGGAAAATACTTAAAGCTTAGATTTGGCTCATCTATAAAATATAAAGATAAAATAATATAAATATAGATAATTACAATAATATAAAATATATTCTTATATAAGATATAAAGTAGCAAGGGACATATAATGTGAATCAGTTATGGGGCAACTTTATTTCTTCTACCCAAAAGAAATGCTAAGTAAAAAGATTCACAAGTGTGCACTGACAGAGACTAACAGGATACTTGTAGGTTACATAAATTTATAGCTACTATTATATGCTCTTGGAAGGTTGAAACTTAAACATCAGAATATGAAGCAGTTTGCAGAGCCACTGAATAGGCATTTTACATTTCCCGCAGCTCTGACCTTTCTAAAGATTTCCTCCAGGCACTGAGCCCCTCCCCTTTCTGGAGGTCATCCTCTACCAGGTAGAAACTTTCCCTTGCCACTGGTCAGCCCCAAACAAGTTTTCAATTAATACTAGTAGCTTCTTGTCCTGTCCTTCATAATGTTCATAATACGATCCAGGATCTTCAACCTCCCAAACTCAAAAGGTTGCTTCCAAGATTACAAATGTGCAACTGAGGACCCATGTTTGGTCACCTATACTCAGAAAAGAAAGTTTTAAAAAGAGGCAGCTGGAGACCCAAGGTCCAGGTTTCCCCAAGCTCATACATGTGCTTTACCTGTGATATGCTCAAAACTCACAATTTCTCTTAAGATGGGGGAAGGACACCAGCCTTCTTCCCTCTTGTCCTCACAACACTCCCCCACTCTCCCAGGCATAAGCTTGAAGAGTCTTGATATGATCTGCACAAGGGAAGAAAAGAGAGTGATAGAGGGTGAGTCACTCCCTTTTAAAAGTCTACTGACTCAGCAGCATTTACTACTTAGTGGCCAGTAAGGGGGTTTCTTCATCATCTCCAAGTACAAGCCCTTCATATAAATATGTGAAGGAGAAGTTTCCAAGGGAACTCATGATTTTACTCCATAGTGAAATCCCTGTAGATATAATTCTCACATATGCGCCTCCCTGGCCCTATGTGTGAGTCTTTTTTTTTTTTAATTGAACCTATGATTTCTTTAGTATCTGGTTGGGAGCTGTATTAGAAAGTTGCCTCCGGCACTAAGAAATCAAGTGATTTGCCCACTATAGGAAAGCCAGGATGTGTCAAGAGTCTGAACTTGAAACTAGATCTTTCTGATTCAGAGGCAGGATCTCTATACTTTTCGTCCTTAAATTATTATTGTCATAATAATGATAATTATTAAAATTATTTTGTCAAATTATGAATTACTTAATTATTAATGCATGGTTAATTATAAAAATATACAGATGGATTAGATTATCTTTAAGGTCCCTTCTAGATTTAAACTTTATATTCCTCTAGAAGCCGGTCTAGAAGGTTGGGTTTCCAGATGCACCAAGATGTTACTACTCTCCCTGTCCCTGACCCAAAGTGCAAAAAATAAAGGTAGAGCACCAGATAAATATTAAGTTGCTTTCCAAGGTGGGCTAGCCTTGCCTCTCATCTTCCATGGGTAATGAATCACTGAGAGTAAACAAAGTTCCTAGGGCTCCTCAGGATGCTTATGTAGCTTGAGGTCGTGCCTCCCTATATTATCATGAGTACGTGAGTTCTAGGGAGTCATCCACCCACTCTCTTGTTACCCTCTGTCTTACTCCCTACCTTGTCCCCCCACCCCTGTCCCCCACATGCCTAGTGGTACAAAGAGTTAAAAAGTTGGTGTTTGCTGAGATCACTTCCTGTGCTTCTTTCCAAGGGCTGGCCAAGAGCTCTCCCTTTAAGGAATGGGAGAGGGTTTAAGAGGAGAGAGGGAGCAAGAGAGGCTGAGGGGGAGGAGACGGAGAATGGGAAAGTGTTGAATGGAGAAAAAAAATACACTTTTTGCCACTGTGAACTTAGTCCTGGGGTAACACTCTGCTACCTCTCTTTCACTTGGGGGTCCTCACCCCACCACTGGCTGGAGAAAGGAGCAGAAGTAGGGAAGGGTGCATGCAGTTTATGAGCGGTACAAGCCCGGCACAAGGTCTGCGGCAGCCTGGCTCCAAGGTTGATTCTCTGCTCTGTGTGCCTCTTTTAAGCCGGTAAGTTTCCTGAAGGGAGAGAGCGGGTAAGCTCGCCCATCCACTCTCTTCTTAACCTCAGAGGGCAGGGGAGAATCACGGCCGGGGAGAGATTCGAGAGTGCGGGTCGTATACTGGCCGACAGATCAGCGGAAGGGATGGGCACCCCTTTAGCAACGCAGGTCATAAGATAACTGAGCAGGTGTCTTCCACCTGAAATCAGGCTCCTCCCCTCTTTGGGAGTATCTGTAGGAGCTTCGTTGGGGCTTCCGAAGGTGAATAGACTGTGTTTTGTCTCTTTTTAATGGATGGGGGGGGGGGGGGGGGAAGAGCATGGACAAGTGTTTCAAGGAAGAAACTTGACTTTGGGATTCACTCTATCCAAATTCGCGGAGCAAAGAGTGCCTCGGGGGTGCAGACTTCTATAACGCAGCCCTTGTTCCTTTCCAGCCCGTGGGCCCTTCCCCCACTCCTGCCCGCTCTCCCAATTACCATCCTCCACCCCCACTCCCACGCAATCCTATGTTGTAAACCTGTTACTTCTGTGTTTCTCCCAAGGAAACAGGAACCAATCAAGGTGTAACTTTGTAAGCAAAGCATATGGGAAACAGGTTGGACAATAGAGTGATTCGGGAACCTGATAGGTGGGGAGATTCAACTTTGATTCTTGTTAGGCCCAGTAAAGAATAGTAAGGGACTATTTGGGAGACCGACACTTCCGCGGAGTAGACGTTTCCCAGCCTGCTTTCTTCAATTACTTCGCTTTTTAGGTGCTCACAAAATTCTCACACACACTCTGCAGGTGGGTTTCATGAGAGAATCAAAGGGAGCTTCTGGCACAGTTTTGCTCTGACCAGACGTCTCTCTGTCCTACAAAACCTGAGGGTAAACCGTATGCAGGATAGATTCGTATTTCCAGCTTGCTCTTCTAGCCTTCTTTTGGTGTGACTTCTGGTGACTTCTCTCCAATGGGAGAGTTAGAAGGATGTCTGCTTTGGTGGAGAATTTGGCTTTATTTTCTCAGTGAGAATTCTGACCTGGTTGAATTGTTGCCCGGGGGGGGGGGAGGTGCCACTCTTCCACAATCAATTAGTAAACATTGATCAAGCACCTACTAAGTGCCAGACAGTGAGATAAGTGCTGGGAATACAAAAAGGAGGGAATGACAGTCCCTGCCGTCAAGAAGCTTGCATTCTAATGGGGAATACAACATGCAAACAAATATATACAAAGCAAACTATGTACAGGATAAACAGAAAAGAATTAACAGAGGGAAGGCCCTAGAATTGAGAGGGGCACCTGCTGTCTAATTTTCTTGTGGATGAGGAAGAATGGTCAGGTGAAAGCATGCTGCTGGATTTGGAATGGCAGGTCTTGGGTTCAAATTTAGCCTCGGCCCATAAGGATTCTCGGTGTGATTTGGGACAAGTCATTTAAACTTTGTAAGCCTCAGTTTTCTCATCTACCCCCCCCCCCAAAAAAGCATTAGACTAGGCAGAATCTAAGGTCCTTTTCCCTTAGCAACTAGGTGGTACAATAGATTCAGCAGGGGACCTGGAAGTCAGGAAGAACCTTCATTCAAATTCTGCTTGGGACACATAGCTGTGTGACCCTAGGCAAGTCGTTCAACCTTTTTCTGCCTCTGTTTCTTCTTCTGTTAAAGAGAGATATTAGCACCTACTTCACCTGGTTTTTGTGAGGATCAAACGAGTTAACATCTATAAAGTGCTTTGCAAACCTTAAAGTGCTATATAAATGTTAGCTATTATTATCATTTCAGCTCCAAATCTATCATCCTGTGATTATGGCAGAGAATTTTTCTTGTCCCTTCTCCTCCACGAATCGCCAATCTCTGAGACATAGCCTTAATTCCTTGGTGGAAACAGGACACCTTCCAACCTCAGACCCCATAGTATTTTCCCCAGGTACATATTTCTCTCACCTCTGTGTGTTTATCTTCTAGATTCTGCTACTGTGTATTTGTTTTCCTGCTAGACTGTCAGCTTCTTCAGACCTGGAGGAAATAATACTAATAAATAGCTAACATTTATATAACATTTACTATGTGTCAGGCATTGTGCCAAGCAATTTACAATTATTATCTCATTTGATCCTCACAACCACCCTGGGAGGTGAGTGCTATTATTATCATCCCTATTTTACAGGTGACGAAACTGAGGCAAACAGGTGAAGTGACTTGCCCAAGGTCACACAGCTAGACCATGTCTGAGGCCAGAATCAAATTTTAAACTGTTCACAAGATCACTGGTCCTTTTTCTTGGTTGCTGCCCATCTGGGAGAGGTTGCAGCAGGTGGACCATTATCTGGGCCCACTAATTAATCACAGAATCATAGATTTAGAGCTGGAAGGAAATTTATAGGCCATCTAGGACGAGGAAACAGAGGAGAGAGTTTAAGTCCTTGAGCAGGATCACACAGCTAGTAAGCGTCTGAGACAGGATCTGAACTGTTATCTTCCTGACTCCAGGTCCCATGCTTTATCCATTGAACCACCAAGCTGCCTAGCTGGAAAGGACCTTAGAAGCCATCTAGTACAATGCTCTTCTTTTTTACAGATGAAGAAACTGAGGCTGTAAATCCAGCATTCTATCCACTGTTGGGACTATGGTGTCTCTGTGTCCTCTCAGCATTTAAGCAGGTTAAGAATACTACCTTAATTTGCACCCTGTTTAAATAGTTTTTTGTTTGCCACCTGTGCTTATTCCATGTGCCCAGACTTGAAGGCAGGATGCCTGAGTTCAAATCCTCATTCAGCCACTTCCTATTCAATCCACAAAGTGATCCATTCGCTAGGATCATAGATACAGGGCCAAAAGGGACTAGGTCATCTAGTCCAAACCCTTCATTTTACAGATAAGAAAACTGACCCCCAGGGAGATAAATGATCCACCCAAACCGTGCAACTTGTAAGCATCAAATGTGGGATTTGAACCCAGATCCTATGACTCCCAGGAACCAGTAAATCTCTCTGAACCTCATTTTCCTCATCTTCAAAATGGAGTAATTGGAAATGATCTCTAAAGTCTGCCTCTTACTTGCTTTATGATTTTAGACAGGTCACAATCAACAGTCTAGATTTAAGTTTCCATCTCTGCAATCTGTTAGAAGTACTAAGACAACCAAATTGACAGAGTTATTGTGAGGATGGTATTTTGCAAACCTTAAAATGCATAGATGTGTACATCCTTATTATTACTATTATAATTATCACTACTGGATTATAAAGGGCAGCTAGGTGGTGCAGTGGATGGAATGCTGGACCTGGAACCAGGAAGACCTGAGTTCAAATTTGACCTCAGACACTTTGCTAGCTGTGTGACCCTGAGTATGTCATTTGACCCTGTTTGCCTCAGTTTCCTCATCTGTAAAATGAGCTGGAGAAAGAAATGGCAAACCAATCCAGTATCTTTGCCAAGAAAACCCCATATGGGGTCATGAAGAGTCAGACATGACTGAGCAACAACCCTAGAAGGATATAGTTCTATTCACTTTGTTTCCCCAAAACTGGAAGGGATGAATCAACTCCAGTTCCTGTTCTGGATAATGATGTTGAGGACAACTACATTTAAGGATGGTGCCATAATTTAAGAAACAGAGACATAAGTGGTCCTTGGATTCAAGAGAAAGCAGGTAGTGACAGTGATAAGTCTTCTGAGGAAAAGACCACCTAAAAACTGTCCATAATGGGGTCCTTTAGTATGATTCTCTGAAGTCCCGAGTCCATAAATTGGTGATAGGCAGCAGGACGGAAGGAACCCTACATGTGGAGAAAGAACTAGATTCAACTTCTGATTCTGACCTAAGTCACCTCACCTCCCTGGGACTTGGTTTCCTTGTAAAATAAGGTGGTTGGACTAGATGGTATCTAAATTTATGATTTTGGGAGCTAGTTTAAGAACATATAGTTGCCAGAGGTTACTTAAAATTGTTCCTGGAGTCAAAGGACCTAGATTCAAGTCTCACATCTGGTTTTCTCAGGGAGTATTTATTGTTTTCTCTCCGAAGGAAAAAGGGGGGGAGGGGGCGGAGATCTGTAGTTTATGGATCCAAAAGTTTGTACAATGGATCTGAAGTTAATTCTGTAGCCTACCTGGAATAGGTCCAAGGACCTCGGGTTTTTGAGATAATCTCCTTCTCCCTCGCTCCCTATTTGGGAATAGCCCTTGGAATTGTCACAAGAGGCCTAGTTATGCCCTTCTGGGATTCGAGGCCTTAAAATACTCCAAAGCGGGTCCTTCTCTGGCTTTTATCTGTACAGGACAGGATTGGACTGAGAATCAGAAGAACTGGATTCCCCAGCTCTGCCACTGCCTAGCAGTGTGACTTTAGGCAAACTACCTATTCTCTCTATGCCTTGGTCAACTCACCTGGGAATGACAATGCTTGCTTTGCCTACATCACAGGAGTGGCATGTGGATTAAACAAGATGACTGGATTTGGAGAAGGAAAGGACTTTAAGCATCTTCATTTTATAAATATCAACAGAGCTAAAAACATCATAAACATGAAAAGTGTTGCTTGTCGCCTGGTTCTTGCAAATAAACTTCTGCCATGGTGTCGATGGAAAGGTGTTAGTGCAAGGTGACTCTGCTGGTGAAGCTGAACTTTACTGTGACTTCCTAGACACCCTGCTTCATAATTGTTATTCATCCATCCCACTTGGTTCTGTTGGAAGAGCCTCAGGGATTCAGTGGCTGGCAACTCCACTCACTCCTAATCTGTTTCAAAAACCTTTAATTCACACCACATGCCTGGGCAAGCCTTGGCCCCCTCAGGAATGGTCTCTACTGTTTCCCTAAGAAAAAGAAGGATTAACTAGGCTATGGGATCTGGGGCAGAACAAAGATGTCATGAAGACATTTGGTGGAGAAAAGCAACCCATGATGTCTGGATGAATGTCCAAACATCTTGCCTAGACAGAAAGAGAGCATGCTGGGGAATTTGTTTCCAAGAGTTACCAAGTATTTTGATGATTTTGTGTCCACTTCACCATCCTCTTGAAATTTAGAAAGCGAAACTGACAAGTGATAAAGATAGCTAAACTCACTCTCTCTCTCACTCTCTCTCATTCTCATTCTCTCTCCTCTATCTCTCTCTCTCTCCCTCCCCCCTCTCCCTCTGTCTCTCTCTGTCTGTCTCTCTCTCTCTCTCTGTTTCTGTCTATCTTTTTCTCCCTTCCTCGCTCTCGAGCTTGCTCTGGCTCTCTTTCTCCTTCCCTCTGGCTCCCTCCCTCTGGCTCCCTCTCTCTTTTTAATGTAGATGACGCAAAAAAAGACCCTTCTTGTTTGGGACTGGCTACTTTTAGAGGTCATCCTTTAGCAGTGTGTGCTGTATTTGGGAAACCAACAACACTGGGTTGAGAATCAGGAATTCAGGGTTCTAGGTGCCCTGTTTCTGACACTCACTGGCCATGTAACTTCAACTCTCACTGCGGTCACTGCAACTCTCTGGGCTTCTATAAAATGTTTGGAGTTTTGAAACACATGACCTCTAAGATTCTATCTCTTTCTTTGTATGCAAGGAGAACTAAGCAAAAGAAAGGGAAAGAAAAAAATCAATGAAGTTTTTGTAGCCAGGCTGGATTCCCTGAGAGATTCCATTTTGTCTCCTCAGCTCGGATTCCAGTTCAGAGAAAGTGATGTTTTGTTTGTGTCTCTTGTCATCCTGCCCATTCCAGTTGGTCCTAGTCAGTCCCAGTCCTTCAAGGTAGAGATTGCTATGAAGTCACAATGTTGAGATTGTTTGGGGGTGATGCAAGTGACTTTGCTGGGCCGTGATCATTTCTCTAGCATTCTCTGGGAGTCCAGACCCTAAAGGATCAGGCGCCAGATGCCAGCAGTTTAATGATTATAATAACAATTGTGAGAGGCTGCCTTCCGTGGCTGATAGGGAGCTGTCCACTCCCACTCCCCTCCCCTAGTTGGAAAGACTGGGTTCAAATCTCCTCTGACACACGGGAACCTGTGAGATGTTGAGCTTTGGTGCCCCAAGCAACTCTCAAGGAAGGAAAGTCACAAAGATTTTATTTTGTGAGATGCTGGGCCAATAGATTAACCTTTTAGTGCCCCAGGCAACTCTAAAAAGAAAAGTCACAAAGCAGGTACTGATGATGTGCACTAGTAAAGGGAGTTTCAACACCAGGAGTATATCATAGGGCCAATCCAAAAAAACCAAAAAGCCCAAAACTAAACTCAACAACAAGCCCAAGCCTTTATACTTTATATTCTTAGTGGCAGTTTAATGCAGTGGAAGGATCACTAAATTTCAAGTCGTAGGTTCCATCTCACTGTCTCCAGGTTGGACTAGGTGACTTCTGAGTCCCTTCTAGTATTAAATCTATGATTCCATGTGTAGTACCAAGACTTTTCTAAAATGCCATTCGAAAGCACCATACAGAAGATCTCACTTGCCTTTGATTACAAAATCAAAATTATTCCCAAAGTGAGTAAGCAGTGGCCAAAGTAGGAAAAGGGCATTTCTAAAGTCTGTTGAAAAATTGGTGATGGATCCATAACTGAACCCTTAGAAACTCAGTGACCCATCATGGCACCACCCGACCAACAGGACACATGGGTGCTAGTTTTCCTGAAGTCAAGTGGCCATTGGCAACATGAAGAGAGATCTTGGAGTCTGGGTGATGGATAGAATCTCCGGTGCTCATCCATCCTCCAACCCCCTTGCATTCCTCTTTACTTCTTAAGGTTCCTCTCATACATCCTGATCCTCTTTCTCATTCTCTCACTTGAACCCAGGTTTTTCTGAGATGGAAAGAGCCCAAAACTTGGAGTCAGAAAGACCTGAGTTCAAATCCTGTCTCAGATACTGATGTGACCATAAGCTGCGTCCATAAGCAAATAATTTAACTTCAATTTCTTCAACAGTAAAATGAGGATAGTAAAAGTCCCTTTCTCCCAAGGTTGATTGTATCATGAGGACTTTACAAACCTCAAACCACTATATAAATGCTATTATTATTGTTGTTATTGTTATTACACCTTGCCTCCATATTCCTATGACCCAGAGAAATTTGGATAAATCCCAGAAATAAGGAAAAGTGCTTTGTAAATCTTAAAACATTATAGAAATGTGAGCCCTTAACAGACTCAGAGCTGCTAATGGATTTGTTAGCTATGCTACTCTCTCCAGACTCTGCATCGGAGTATCTAGTAACTCTCCAGCCTGTTTCCTTGCCTAGAGAAGAAAAGCAGAATCTGTTTTTGGAAATAGGACGATGACAGCTGACAGCCCATGGGGATGAGTAAGACTCTTTCATGGAGGAAAGAGGCCACATCTTCTTTTCATCTGAAACCTATCATTTTGCTAAAATTCTGTCACATTTAAATTTTAATTCTTTTTTTCCCAAGTTTTATGGATTTTTTTAATACACCATAGTCCCTTCCCAGTGACATTCTACCCCACCTCCCACAATTGAACTCTCCCTTATGCCAAATTAATACAATTAAAGTAAAACAAATCAATATATCGACCATGTGTGAAAATGTATGCCTCGTTCAGCTATAGCCTACTAGCTCTCTGCTGATAGGCATTCTTCCCTGTCAGTCGTCTGAAGTCACCATTAATCACTGCATTGATCAGAGTTCTGGAGTCACTCAAGTCTTTCACTGTTTTAGTTTTTCTGAAGGAGACCTTCCCTTGTTCCCCATCTTTCCCTCCCCCCTTAACTTCAGTGCCTTCCTTCTGAGATTATTTTCCATTTGCACTGTCATATGGTTATTTGCATGTTGTGTACCCTGTTAGAATGTTCCCTCCTTGAGGGTAGGGACTGTTTTGGTTTTTTTTTTGTCTTTCTTTGTAACTTTAGTACTTAGCACAGAGTAGGTGCTTAATAAATGCTTGTTGAGGGGCAGCTAGGTGGTGCAGTGGATAGAGCACCGGCCCTGAAGTCAGAAGGACGTGAGTTCAAATCCAGCCTCAGACCAAACACTTGCCACTTACTAGCTGTGTGACCCTGGGCAAGTCACTTAACCCCAATTGCCTTAAAAAAAATGCTTGTTGACTGAATTTTGATTTCTCAGGCCATAGTTAGCTATTACAATGGGAGTTGGGGCTAAGAATGATTTTGTAAGCCTTATAAGATTTCTCTTCAGTCCCATCTTCTCTTCTTTCCCCACCTTTTCTTTGTCTAGGTCTCTTCCAGGTTTCCTAAGCTGGCTATACCTTCATTTTCTTCTCTGTGTCCAGGTTTCCAGGGTTCTTTGGTACCTCCTCCCATTGTAGAAGATAGAGGTGTATCATTCACCATGTCGAAGACTGAGGTAGAGAACGGGACTTGTGTGAACTGGCAGAAACGCTGCCTTGCCCTGGAGACCCAGCTCTTTCGGTTCCGTCTTCGGGCCAGCAAGATTCGGAAGCTACTGGCTGACAAGGTGAGCTATGCACTGACCAATCAGACCAACAGGTTGTTTGCTAGGGAGTATCTGTCCCATAGCCAAAATAAAAATAAGTCCAACTCCCTCCAATAAAGGGGACAGGCTGGGAGGGGACCAGAGAGGGAGAGCTGAGAGACAGAAATTTAATGAGAGTTTTTTTTCTGACTATGCAGAGCCAAACAAACAAGAATTATGAATAAGAAGTGCAAAACCTCAAAGCAATTTCCTGTGTTATCCATTCTGCTTCCTCATCTGGCATGAATGTATCTGGGCATTTCATCCCCAATCCCCCATGTCTTCCTTAGCCTTTCCTCATTCCAGGCAGCAATGACTGTCCCCATGTTGTGGGCCCAGGCTTCCACAAATAACAGAATTTTAGAGTCAGAAGGGATCTATTGCAGCAGTCCTCTATCCCAACTCATACCAGAAAAGGAATTCCACTACTCTGCTTAAAAGTCCCCAGTGAAGGGGAACCCACTATCTCAGTGTGGGGAGGAGTGGCTTTCTATCCAGTGTGGGAGGGAAAGGAGTAGGGAGGCAGACCTCAGACCCATTTTCTACCATTCTAGGCACCTCTGCTCTGTACTCCCAAAAGATAATACATGGTAGAGGCAGCTGCTGGGCCTGGAGTTAGGAAGACCAGAGTTCAAATCTGCTCCTGGATACTTACAAGCTATATGACCTTGGGCAAGTTACTTAACTTCTGACTGCCTCAGTTTCCTCAACTGTAAAACAGAAATAATAATAATATCTACCTCAAAAGGTTGTTGTGAGGATCAAATGAGATAATATTTGTTTGGTGGGGGGGAAGCACTTAGCATAATACCTGGCACATAACAGGTGCTATTTCCTTCCCTTCCTATATGTAAAAGTGTTTTGCAAACTTAAAGCACTGTATAAATGCTAGCTATTATTTAAAAAGCGATAAGTAAACATATATTTTCCAGGTCTGGACCCTCTGCCCCCACATACACAGCCAAAAAACCTTTCCAAAACTCCAGGGCTTGGGAACAAAAAAGAGTGAGATAAAGATAAATAAAGGATTCAGGCAAAATCCTATGACAAATTTGAGGAGGGAGAGATCACTCTCACTTGGAAGAATCAAGGGAAAAATGACATCTGACTTGGGCTTTGAATAAAGGGAGGAGGGTTTCTAACAGGTTGGGATTGGGAACATCTAGAGACCATTCCAGGAAGGGGTGATCAGGTGAGGAAAGTCATGAAATGGAGTTCTTCCAGTGTAGCCATATGGCAAAGTGATCTGGAGTCTATGACATGCCTCATTCCCATATTTAAGCTCAACATCCTAAGGTTTAGGGTAATCCAGGGGGTATGTTTAAAATTCCCTCATTAATTAGTTTGGAGTCCTCACCCCAGTTTGGTATTTAGTTATAATCATTTGTTTATAAGTGATTACAAATAAATAATTTATGTAATAATATTTTTATTTAAAAAACTGAAGAAACTGATTTTCCTGTAAACAGTGGCTCATATCTTCATGTATGTCAAAATTTCTAATCTTTTAAGATTAATTTAACGTTAATGGCTATACAACTTATTTACAGTGTAATCAGTAACAAAACAAAGACAAAAATAATTACTAAAAAATATTTTGAAGACAATAAACTTTAGAGAGGTTGCTGACTTATATTGGTTGAGAGCATTTTCTCACCTGAGAGTTCTCTACGACAGTGAAAGCACAGATCTAGTCCTGTTCTTATCCCGATAATATTTTAGCCATGAGAGAGGTCACAGTCAGGGTCACCAATAGCCATCACTATAACTCTAGATAACTTCTCCTTCTGGAAACCTAGTTCCACTATTCAGTTCATTCAACATATCCTTTCCCCCAAAGTATCTTCTCAAGGATTCTCTTCATGCATTTCACAACATAAAGGTTAAACCACTTCCATCCAGAAAGTAGACCTCTCCATCTTCTGTTTCATTACCTCCTCTAGGTTTTCTCTAGCCTCAACAGGAAAACAGCCTCTTCACTTCTCTTAAGTCTCTAATTAAAGCCTCACTTCTCTAATCAGCTTCTTTCCACATTCATTCATTATAAAATTATCTTTATATTTCCTCATAAAATAAGTTAAAATCATTCTCTCAAGAATTAAATTTTTATTTACTCTGTCTTCTCTATAGTTCCCTTTTTAAATCTTTAATAACTCTCCTTTCTCAAAAACTGCCAGCTAGCCCAACTGAGAAGTCCAAGCATTCCAGTTGGCTATTAAAGCTACAATAACTGTAACTATAGCCTCTATGAGAAAGGCTTTTGAAATTGGAGGTTACAGCTGGAATAGAATATGTGAAGGAGATTAATATGATAAGGCTAGAAAGGTAGGTAGGAGAGAAATTGTGGAAGGCCTTGAGTGCCAATCAGTAGTTTATAGGCAATGAGGTGCCAATTAGAATATAAGTACATAAAGGGCAGGGGATGTGTCTACTGCATATATCCCCCAGACTGCTTATTACAATGTTAGGCATGTAGTAAGGGCTAAATAAATACCATTTGCTGATTTGGTCTCTTGAAGATACAGACTTGCTCCAACCCTCTTTCCTGGCTTTTATTGGCTATTGTTGGTGAAGTGGTGCTACCTGGTGACATCCAAACACAGACTGTGCAGCAAGCATAACCAATCCTCCCAGGACTAAATCTTTGATCCTATAGTCCTTTTTGCTATTTGCTGCTGAGGTTTGAAGGCTTCTCCTAAAGTACAAGGAATCTAATAATAACTAGAGTTTTAATAATAAAGTAGGTCAGCTGATAGGGAAGGGAGAGGCCCCTAAAAAAAATAAAGGCAGATAAAATTAAATGCCTTCTAATCCAATAGACCCTTTAGCTGTCTGGTGAAGCCTATGGACCCCTTCACAGAATAATGTTTTAAAATGTATAAAATCAAATACATAGGATTACAAATGAATGCTTTGCTCAGCCTTGCCAAAGGGGGCATATGAGTCTTCAGAATTAAAATTACTTCTCACTTACAAATCACAGTAGGAATAAAAGAAAAAACAAAATCATTGTGGCAAAGGGGGAAGTTAACTAATTTCTAATTTGCTCTATGAAACAGCAAGTATCTTTGTATTTACTACATCAGACATTGGCAGTTATGCTCTAAATTAGAGGTTCTTAACCTGGGATTGAAAGACTTAGTCTTGTGGGTAAATTTCAAGAGGTCTATGAATGGAGATTAAAAAAAAAACAAAACCTAACAATCCTACATCTGTATTTTTGTTATAATTGGTTTCATTTGTAATGACCCAAAAATGAACCCCTGCTCTAAATGAAGCCAGAAGAGAGAACTACAGATATCTCCAAACATAAAAATCCTAGTCTGACATTTTATGGGTTACACAAATGGCTGCTGTAGGTGAGATACCCCATAATTTGTTCTAAAAGAAAAAAAATAAGGATGAGGAAGGAAGGCAGCACATGACAGGGAAATAGTGTCCAGGCTTAGACTAGGACCTAAGTTAGAGTCACCCGGAGTCCACCAAAGGTTCTGTGGATCCCCCACAAAAACTCAAAGAGGGAGCTAAGAACATCTGGCCAAAGGGTACTTTCCTGGAATCTAGAAGTGACCATTGGTAGAGAGGGCTAAGGAGCAGACAGATTATGGTGGAATCCTTCTCCCTTTCCCTTTCTCTAGCAGGTAACAGAGTAAAGCCCAGTCCTGAGAAGGAGGCAGCAAGTCCGTGTGGTAGAAGAGAGGAGAAAGTGCTGAATTTAGAATCAGCCTAGGTTTGAATCCTGGTTCTTTTACTTAACTTCCTGTGTGGTCACAAAGGACAAGTCTCCTGACCTTTCTGAGCTTTAGTTTCCTCATCTGTAAAATGAAGGGAGATAGACTACATGATTTTGAAGGCCCCTACCACATCTAAATTGATAATCCCATATGGTATCTGAGAAGCTACCAGGTGGGCTCCTATCTGGTATTGTGGACATCTTTTCAAATTATGCTGACAGTAAAAGTAGAATTCCATGGGTGCAATTTGAAGTAAAAAGTGATGGAAAATACAGTGAGCATCAAAGTGACTGACCTAGGAGCTCCTGAGTCCTATTCAAGAGTCTTTTGCTTAAAGTCCTGTTTCCTACTGTGTCATTAGACCAGCTCCTCAGACCCACCCCCACCCCAAACCATCCTAATACCTACTTAAAACGAGAGATTGTTGCAAGAGTTAGTGTGAGTTTCCCTACTGATCTTTGGAAACAGACTCAGACCTCTCCCTAACCTTTAGGGATTAACCTCTGCTTTTCCTCTTAGGACTAATCAATCATTATCAATATAAATCTGTTTTGAAATTTTTGCTGTCCTCTCAACAAATCCTTCTTTTAGACCATTTCTAGAAGAGGCCCCAGCTACCTTCGAGTTCCCCCCCCCCCATACACACAGAGCCTTCTTACTCTAGCTGCTAAGGGGGGAAGGGGGAAATAAGAGTAAGGATTGTGTTGCTATAGTAACAGAAGGCCCTATCATTCATCTGATGGCTTTTCTGCCTGACAAACCTGCTGGAGTTAAAAAAATATATAGCTTATTGGTTTCCATGAAACCATCTGAAGCTGTGATCTGATACCTCCCAGGAACCTCTGAAAACTTTGAGGGAACCAGCCAAGGTTAGGAACAGAAAACTGCCCCAACTTCTAAAGCCCTGTTTACAGAGGCACAAAGATACAATAGTAAAAGTGGTAGTGAATTTGGAGGCAGGGACATGGGTTCCAATCCTGACTTCACCTCTCTGAGCCTCAGTTTCCTCATTTGTAAAATGTGGTGGTTGGACTGCACAACCTTTCAAGTGCTTTCAAGTTGTACATCTATAATCACATGATTTCTGAACAGTAAAGGCAAGTAGTTGAAATGACATAAGTATTGTAAAAAGAACGTGGCTACCACATATCCTCCTCCAGGGGTAATTTGTGTGTTTTAATAATGTTGGGACAGTGAAGGATTAATATCATTAATATGTGGGATAGTGAAGAGGATCCTGCAGTGAAA